GTGTGGTCACCTCCGGGGCAGGCGGGAATCGAACTCATGCGGAAGTGGCTTTAGTTTCTCAGTGCTGTGCTTTAACCTGCTGCGCCACCAGGGAGGGCCTTTTTTGTTTTTTTAAGGTTTATTTATGCATACAGAACTGGGGGACAGGCCAGAGGTGCAGAGGCAGTGAGAGGATTCACCAGAGACAGAGCGGGGAGCAGAACAGGCAGGTCGAGAAAGTACATTGCTGAGGGGAGCAGCAGGTGAGACAGAAGTCTGCTGTGCCATGTGGGTCAGCTCCCTGGCTGGGGATTAAACTCGTACTAAAGTGGCTATGGCTAGCCACTGTGATTTAACCTGTTGCACCACCAGGTGGCCCAGAAGCACCATTCTGATATGAGACAAGCTCAACACCCTAGAATCATTTATTAGGTAATAGGCAGGGTTGGATGGGTTTGACTGAGCACCTATGAGATATGGAATGGCCAGGTGATACCATTTCACAAGAGAAGGAATAAGCTTTACCATTCTGAGGTTAGGCTTGTGATGAGGATTGGGCATCAATATATCATAATATACCTACCAAGTTATTACATGTGTACATGATAGAGTACAGTAGGCCCTGTTGAGGCTGTGAATGATGTATCTAGGGGCAAAGATTGAAGGTGAAAGAGGAGTAGCCACCCACCAACTGTAAGGAAGGAATGCTATTTAGAAACTAAAATTTAGTCTGTGAAAGTGCTTAGAAAGGTATTCCTAGCATTGAAAGGAGAGTTCTCTGGGGCCCAAAGGCCCACTTAGCAGAGGATGTTAAAAATCTACTCTGGTTCTAAGGAGTGGTACAGTGCTGGACAATGTGGAATGAGCACTCTATCCACAGTCCAGGCAATGGTTTGCCCTCCTACCACAGGAAGGTTCCCAGAACAGAGACACTTTCCTACTTAATGTGATATATGCATGTATTCTTTTTTTTTTTTATTTTATAAATTTATTTTTACATATTTTTGTGCATTTTTCCATCTCAGTTGCAATCCCCTTGGGTTTCCAACATCACCAAATCACCCATGTGCCATCACCATGTATTCATCTTTTGAACAGTAAAGATAAAGCCTGTCCTGTCAGCTCCAACCTTGGCTAACACCCTACATGGTGTCATTCCTTACTTACCAAACCAAATGCAATCCTGTCCTCATGTTTTCCGCAAAGGAAACTGTTGTGTGGAAATATATTACAATTACTCAGTTTTGTTTTCCCATCTCTTGCCTTATATATTATTCACAAATTGATTTCTCCTCTTGCTCATCCACTTTATTTCCTTATAAAACGTTTTTTATAATGAAAAGCATTATCTACGAGGTTATTTTTTATTTCATATTTTGAACTAGGCAATTTATTCAATTCTGTTACTATTTTTAAAATGAAGTTTTGAGAGATTTCAGAGGTGTACTTAAAAACAATTTACATACAACTTCCAGCTTCGGATTTGAAATTTACAAAAGTGTGTCTTACAGTTTTACAGTTTTTTATTTGCATGTATCATGGTAAATCATAATACTGAAAGTGGGCCACCTCTTTGGAAAGTGGGTAAAGGAATTAATCTTGCATTTTCTTGTGTTTTTCCCATCACAGGTGGAATTGGCTTTGTGGGACACAGCTGGGCAGGAAGATTATGATCGCTTGAGGCCCCTCTCCTACCCAGACACTGATGTCATACTGATGTGTTTCTCTATTGACAGCCCCGATAGTTTAGGTGAGTGATGCTGTAATATGATGTTTTTGCTGCTCTATGCCTAACTCCAACCTGGTTTCTCACTATCTGGGCATCAGGTAGCTAAAGAGCAGATCTGAGTTTCCAAGAAGGAAACAGCAGTGGCCAGAGTCACACAGCCCTGGGACTTTGAGTTTTGGGTCCCTTTCAACCTAGGTATCTCACAGCTGCCATATAAAACCATAACTTTTGGACTAAGTTTTGCTCAAGGCATTTTGGAATGTTCACGCCTTTTTTTCAGTACTTCTAGTTAGACTGCAGATTCCCAAATATCTAGGTTGCTGATTTGCTGTGGAAGAGGGAACAGCTGTGTTTTTAAAGCCCTTTTTTAGCCTTTTTTAGGTAATAGACTTGAATCTAAGCATTCTACTTGCTCAGATAGGCCAGAAATCTTTTCCTTTAGAAAAATACTGAGTAATGCTGACCTGCAAAACAAGGAATGAGGAAGGCCTGAAACAGAACTTGGTTTCAGTTTGTGCTGAAGGTGAATTGTCTCACTTGGTGCTGTAGTACTCTCTTTATAGGCAACAGGTGGGCCAACGATATTGTCATTAAGACAGAACTCTTGAGGGGTTTCTCTCAGACTTTATACTTACTTGCTCAAGATTTTGAAACAAGGAATCAAATTGAGATTGAGCCTCTTTTGCATTATATCCTAAGAAGAAAGAACTGTTTGTCATTATTTTACTTAGGTCATTTTCAACTTTTTTAGTTTTGGTTTTCAAACCTTCCTTTGAGGGACTGTTGGAAGGTCCTGGATGCTGGGGCAGAACTTTAGGCCACAGAGAACAAGATGCCTCATGACAGCCTCCCCTCAGACTTACACATCATAGACGTTGCCCAAATCCTATGAGAATGAGGACTTGGTGCCCTGTGCACAATCTTCTAAGGTATAATCCTATAGAAGGTATAATCCTTACCTTCCAGGAGGAAAATACCTGGAGAGCAACAAATTATTCTTCAGTCTCACCTTTTCCTATTAAGAACATGTTTGTTGGGCTTTAACTTTTTACTTCTATTTACTAGCCATGACTTGTTTCTTACTGGTCCCTCCACAGAGAGCAGAGAGATTTGATTTCCCTTTCAAAGTATGCACACATCCTGAGATAGGGACTGGGTATTGGAGCCCGATGTGCCTTCACAGAAGACTATGGTGGCATAGAGGTTAAAGTCAGTGCTGTCAAGCTATGGCCAGCCTCTGTCCATGAGGTTGATCTCCAGCAAGGGAGCTGACTCACATGGCATGGCAGATCTGCCCTGTCCTGCTCTCTGCTTCCCACTCTGAATATGGTAAATCCTTTCTCTCCCCACACCTCTGGCCTGTACTGCAGTTCTTGTATGCCTAAATAAATAATCTTTAGAAAAAAAAAGTCTCATGAAAACCAAGACAGAGACAATTCACTGTAATTTATACATCCTAAAATTGGGGTAGTAAGGAAGACTGTTAATGGTAGTAGTTATTGGGCATCTATTTATGGAGCTCCTAGATGATGGGAGGCAGCAGAACAAAAGGAACAATTAGCCACTATCCCTACACACAAATACCAGTAAATACAATAACAGTGTTACCAAATAACATTTGTAGAGGTGGGTATGGAGTGATCCATCTTAGTGTGTTCCTTTTAGAGGATGACTATAGGTTGGTGAGAGACTTCCCTGAAAAGGTTACTTCTGAGCAGGTATATGAAGGAGTATCACAATATGCAATGAAATACCTTTCTGGTACCAGGCACAGGTTACTGAAGCGAAGAGAAAAGAAGGAATGCAGTGTAGCTGCAACAGAGGGAGTGGGAGTAAGGGTCAAAGACCCATGTGGTTAGTAGTATGGCCCTCTCCTTTATTTTTTATTAAAGATCTATTTATACATACAGAACTGGAATACAGGCCCGATGTGCAGGGGCAGTGAGATGATTCACCAGAGACAGAGTAGGGAGTAGAACAGGCAGATCGACGCTGCTGAGGGGAACAGTGGGCGGGTCAGGAGAGAGATGCTGCGCCATGTGGGTCAGCTCCCTGGCCAAGGATCAAACTTGTGCTGAAGTGACTATGATTAGCTTCGTAGTGCTGTATCTTAACCTGTTGTCCCTACCAGGCCCTATCCTTTCATTGTGAATGGAAGATTCAAACAAGGGAACAATGTGACCTTGCTTACCTTTTAAAGTGAAAGCTGTCCCAGCTGAACTGAAAACTAATAACCATGGGGTACAGAGGTTAGGGCATGTTTCAGGACTCTTTGACTTTTCTGCTAAATGTGCTGGCCTTGTGTTTTTTTGAAGATTGAGACAATGCACTTCTTTGGGAACCCTTTTGTTCCAGAATTTTGAGTTTCAAGTTATGCTAGTGATCTTATGAAGTCTGTAGCTGCTAAAACCGTCTCTATACTGATAGGTCCAAGATGAGTGCATGTGAGAGGTTGGACTTGGGCCACTCGTCCATCATGGTGTACTTATACCACTTTTCTAGATCAGTACAGTATTGGCAAAAAGCTATAGTTGGTTATCATTCTCTAAAGTCACACTTGAGCAATTTGAAATAGCAGTAGTTGGTGGTCATGCTGAGGGTTTGTGAACAGAGTAAAGAGAAAACATGCAGATCCTGGGCTAGCTGTGCTCCAGAATAGGAACTCTTGTGAGCTGTGGTCAGAATCCTCTACCAACAATGACAGGAATAGCCCATGGGCAGCCTCTGTCATGGGGCAGGCGACATCATCATGGAGCCACCATGTATTCAGAATCATTTGTTCCTTCAAGCCTTTACCTGGGCCCTACCTCTGGAGTCTTTGAACTTTGGTGGAGCTAAGAAAACTGCTGATTCTGTGCTTCAGGTTAGGGGATTAGGTTTTGCCTTTTTGTAGGTTTGAAATTAGTGAGATTTCGTTAAATATCCAGTGTACTTATAATTTCTTTGCAATTTAATTACGGGTCTTGGAATTCAAGAGAATGTATGTATCCCCAGTTATGTACCTTTTGCTTCTTTCAGAAAACATCCCAGAAAAGTGGACTCCAGAAGTCAAGCATTTCTGTCCCAACGTGCCCATTATCCTGGTTGGGAACAAGAAGGATCTTCGGAATGATGAACACACAAGGCGGGAGCTAGCCAAGATGAAGCAGGCATGGTCTGGGGCAGGGCTGTCTTCCTGTAACATTCTTAAAACAGTCCACAGTTGGAGGTTCAGGGAATCCATTAAAAACCTTCACAGATCAGGCTGTTTCAGAGTCCCAGAAGTTTCTCTTGGGATCTGGCAATGGCTCTCATTGCTAGGACCAACACACACAGGGGTCCCTAAGACTCCCACATATGAGCTACAGTCGTCTGTGAAGTAGTGCGTGAGCTCAAGCACTCCCTGCCTGAGAAAGGATCATCACAACAGTAGTCAGTGTCCCAGATGTAGGAATTTAATCAGACTCCCTAATTTCACTCTCTTGTTATACCTTGGTATAAGTGAGGCCACGGATAAATAAGTGGGTGACAACTGAAGGATCAAGAAATCTAAGGGCAAGGAGTTCAGACAAAGCCGAGATGCCTTTATAGAAGTGATGATAGAGGTGTTGTCTTGGCTTCTGGGACAGCTTATCACTGCTTATCTCAGAAGGATGCCTTGAGAGATTGTCAGTTTAGCTCTTCCCATTGTGATTTCTCTTTAAGGGTCAGGATATAGTTTCTTCCAGGGACTTTCCAGTCTTCTTTGTGCTAACTACATGAAGACCCATGGCTTACTCTGGAATGACAGCTTGAGGAATTTTGCCCCTGATTCCTCCTCAGTTTTCCAGTATTCATCTGACCTCTACCTTTTTTCTACTTCCAGAGAACACATTTGATAGAGATTTTATATTGGGGTTGGGGGTCATTTCATGGGACTCAAATTGGGAACTCCTCAACTTTTCAAACAAGTCTTTCAGCTGGTTTTGAATATGCTACACCTATTTACTATGTATGTAACACAACTGAAAAGCACTCTTCTCTCTTGTCAGGAGCCGGTAAAACCGGAAGAAGGCAGAGACATGGCAAACAGGATTGGCGCTTTTGGGTACATGGAATGTTCAGCAAAGACCAAAGATGGAGTGAGGGAGGTTTTTGAAATGGCCACGAGAGCTGCTCTGCAAGCCAGACGTGGGAAGAAAAAGTCTGGGTGCCTTGTCTTGTGAAACCCTGCTGCAAGCACAGCCCTCATGCGGTTAATTTTGAAGTGCTGTTTATTAATCTTAGTGTATGATTACTGGCCTTTTTTTTTTTTTTCATTTATCTATAATTTACCTAAGATTACAAATCAGAAGTCATCTTGCTACCAGTATTTAGAAGCCAACCTGATTATTAATGATGTCCAACCTGCCTGACCTACTGGGGTCCTCTGACACTGCTCTTAACAGCCCTCCTCTGCACTCCCACTTGACACACAGGCGCTAATTTCAAGGAACTTCTTAACTTCTTGCTTCTTTCTAGAAAGAGAAACAGTTGGTAACTTGTGAATTCAGCTGTAACTACTTTATAACTAACATGTTCTGCCTATCATCTGTCAGCTGCAAGGTACTCTGGTGAGTCACCTCTTCAGAGCTAAATCTGTTGAAGGAGTAGCAGATTTCATTATTTTATAGTTCTGGGGTTGGCATTCACCTTTTCAAATATGCTGGACCAGAAAGACCCAGGTCCATGCAGCTGTGGCAAAGTTACAGTTCTGTGGTTTCATGTTAGTTACCTTATAGTTACTGTGTAATTAGTGCCACTTAATGTATGTTACCAAAAATAAATATATCTACTCCAGATTAGATGTAGTATTTTTTGTATAATTGGATTTCCTAATACTGATATTTGTCATCCCTACAGAAAGTGTATTGGTTTTTTAAAAAAGAAAGTGTATTTGAAAATAAAGTCAGATGGAAAATTCATTTTTAAAATTCCCGTTTTGTCAGTTTCTCTGATGAAAGATGGCCATATCACCTGTTTTAGGCCCCACATAATCCCAGCACTCCTCCCCAGAGCTGGGCTAAGTAAATAGGGATTTGGTTTCCTGCCTGAGGCACTTAAGACACTTCAGAAGGTGGCATAACCTGTCTCACCTGGACTGCAGGGTCTGGCTCTAGGTCACAGTGCTCTTTCTCTTCACTGTATCCAGGTTCCCTCCCAGAGCAGCCACCAGTTCTTGGGTGGTACTCTGTTTCTCTTTTCTCTCCAGCTGACTAAACTTTTTTTCTGTATCAGTTAATTTTTCCAACTACTAATAGAATAAAGGCAGTTTTCTAAACTTCCTGTATCCTGGTGTTTGTGTTACTCTCTCCAGGGCTGAGGGTGTGGGAGGATGGACTCAGCTTTTCACTTTGAAGGTTCTTTCAGGGTTCAGAATGCCAGCTTCCCCTACCACCCCCACCTGCAGTCTTCCAGTAACCTGGCTCTTGCTCTTAGTGTAAACGATTATCTGGTATTACTTCCAAGTTCAGAATGGCAGTGAGATAGGGAATGTAGCCTACTGGGGATAAACACAAGGCAATCCAAGCAGTGCTTGCTGAATCTCAGGAGAGTGCCATTTTGTTCCTATTTTCACTATCTTATTTCCATATCTGAGCTCTAAAGTTGACCAGATATTGAGAATGGCCTGAAATTAGTTGGGTTCTCTTGGCCCTGAATGCTGTTAGGCTTTACCCCTGGAAGTCTGAAGCAGAGTCCCAGGTGCTCCTCAAAAAAGCCTGTGTGCTGCTGCACTGGGGTGTAGAAGGAAAGAGAAGGTCTTAGCTATGAACATGCTGTAGGCAGCCCTAGAATGTAGGAAAATGAGAGCCCATTTTGGGATCCTGCACCGGCAGTGTCTGCCATTGCCCAACTCCTACAGCCACAGCCTCATCAGAGACAGAAATTGCCTTGCAGCCCTGCCAACTGCAATCAGCACAGCACATTAACTTGCTCTCTATATCTAGTGAAAACACTGCACATGCCATAAGACTATAAACATGGTATAAGTTTGGAGCATATTGTGGCCCAGAACTGGGCCCACAGCTGTTGCTGTTAAAGTCTCCACTAGCTGGGACCTAAACCCTAACTGAAGAACCTTTACGAAAACACTGAAGCTCTTGGCGCTTGGCCCTGGGCCTGGCTCTTGGGCGTGGTAATCCAAGCGGTAGCCAGAAGGCCGCCCTTCCTGGGCAGGACCAGACGTGCCCGCGGCTCTGCTCATTCAGGGCGGTGCCTGCATCCGGCCCGACCGACCGCACCCCCCTCCTGGCCGAACACCAGACGGGGGAAGGGGGAGGCCGGATAAGGCGGGGCCACAAAGGGTGGAGCGCCCGGAAAAGTGCCTGGGCCATGTGACCCCCGTTGCGAGCCTGTTAAATCTGGCGCTGCAGGGCCTGGTTTCATAGTGCAATTCTCCCATTCTCGCTGCGCGCCATGTGTGCTGCTCAAGTCACCCGGGCCGCATCTGCAGCCCAACGCTCAGTGTACTCCTTCTCTGCGCGCCCGCTGGCCGGCGGGGAGCCTGTGTGCTTGGGTTCCCTGCAGGGCAAGGTGTTGCTGATTGAGAATGTGGCCTCGCTCTGAGGAACAACGGTCCGGGACTATACCCAAATGAACGAGCTGCAGCGGCGCTTGGGACCCCAGGGCCTGGTCGTACTCGGTTTCCCGTGCAACCAATTCGGGCATCAGGTGAGCCAGGCGTGGTGGCGAGTGGATGCGTGTACAACACGGGAGGGATGGCAGACGTGGCGTCTAACTGGACTCGGCATCCGTGTAGCCTGGGCACTGGGAGGCTGGCCACCAGCACGCGTCCCTTCTCAGCCCTCCTGGCTGAGCTTCAGCTCCACCCTGGAGTTACGGGAGCAGGGCAAGGCTGTCAGAAAGTTTTCCCCTTCTCTCCCGGCCCCCGTTTCAGCCCCTTTTTATCCCGCCGCAGGAAAATACCAAGAATGAAGAGATCCTGAATTCTCTTAAGTACGTCAGACCCGGCGGCGGATTCGAGCCCAACTTTATGCTTTTCGAAAAGTGCGAGGTGAATGGTGCGAAGGCGCACCCCCTCTTTGCTTTTCTGAGGGAGGCTCTCCCTGCGCCCAGTGACGACCCCACGTCGCTCATGACCGACCCCAAGTTCATTACCTGGTCTCCGGTGTGCCGCAACGACGTATCCTGGAACTTTGAGAAGTTCCTGGTGGGCCGGGATGGTGTGCCTGTGCGCAGGTACAGCCGTCGCTTTCCCACCATCGACATTGAGTCTGACATCCAAGCCCTGTTGTCCCAGGGGCCCGGCTCTGCTTAGGGTGTCCTTCCAGCCCTGCTGTTTTTGGCGGTCACAGTGCTGTCCTATGGGGATTTCATCCATGACGGTGTTTCCTCTAAACCTGTATGGAGGGACACCTGATAACCGGGAAAATTCCCCAAGGTGGGTGCTAACACTGTCCAGAAACAAGGCTCCTCACTAATAAAAGTGCTAAGTGTCAACAGAACTTTGTGTATGTCCTTTGTGAGTACAAACTAGGAACACTTCCTGTACAACTTCACTGTCCTAGTCCCGGGGCTTAAGCCTTATCCTAACCACACCATGGGAAGCCTGGGTCCGGTTCCATTGTTTCTCCCTCTGCCCAGACGTGCAGCAGAGCCACTTCAATGCCCTGTAAGGAAAGTTCCTTTTTTTTTTTTTTTTTAAGTTGGGTAGAAGAACTGGGATGTAGGCTAGAGAGGGAGTGAGGGGGAAGTGTGTGTGTGTGAAAGGATTCATCAGAGGCAGAAGGAAGCAGAACAGGCAAATTTACTTAAATACACTGTTAGGGTGAGCAGTGAGTGAGACAGGAGAGATCGGCTATGCCCTATGTGGGTCAGCACTGGGGAGAGAATTCAAGTGGTAGGTAGCAGTGATAATGCTGAGGCTTAACCACTAGGCTACCTAGGAGGCCCAGGAAAAGTCCTTATTCCAGAAATAGGAAGACAAGTCAAAGGTTGATTGCTTAATCCCTGTGGTTAACCTCTGTTCTGAGAATTTGCTGAATATGCCTTTCACAGAAAGTAATACCCTGTGTTCTCACATTCAGAGAGGCCCACACAACCCATTTTATACAATTGGAAGCTCATGCAATATACATTCTTTCCCCATTACTTTGCTTGATATTTGCGTTTCATGCTCAGTGTTAACATTGGCTCTGAAGCTGCCATTACTGGTTGATACTACAGCAGGAAGCTAGAAAATGGGTCTAGGCAGTCAGAAACAGCACCCTACCGTCCCCAAGCTTTCAGCAGCCAGAGAAACAACTGCAGACCAGGAAGGTGCCCCCTTTTCCAATTAAATTAAAATGTAACATTCAGAATACCAACATAATAACACAATAGCAACAGACCAAAGCTGGCTTCAGGATAGGCTGGATAACATGGGAAACCTAAGTGGGCCCCAGTAGCCAAGAAGATCCCCTCTGGCTCAGCCAATTAGTAAGACACAAAGCAAAAACACCAAAAGGCCAACCCATAACTCCCAGCCCCTTGTACCTATATAACCACTTGCCACCTCAGTGGCTACACGTCCAGGACCCCTCTCCTTCAAAGAGCTTTCTTATCCTTCCTACCTGCCTATCAAAATCTATCTCTTGCTTATCTGTATCTCTGATTTTGACACTGAATTCTTTAGTGACCAGACAGGAACTGAGGAAGAGCCCACCTGGGGTCTTTGGACTCCAAGTCTGCTCCATAAAAGCCCTAATACCTCTCCTGTCTCAGAGGAAGAGACCTCTATCTATATGCCCCGCACTTAGCAGCTGCAGTCATCAGGCTCAAGGTAGATAGGGTCCTATCTTGGAGGCCAGTTGCTGCTTCTCAGCCATGGCTCAAATCCATTCTCTCCATCTGTTGGCCCTCCTGTCAGTAATCTTTCTCTACAGGCCTGGGACCATTTACTGTAATATATAATACAGTGCACTCTGCAGGGTTTGGATACAACTCTGCTTCTGGGCAGATAAGGACCCAGAAATACGTTGGCAGTGCCACTCAGTCCAGAATATGGGTCAGAGGCTTTAGGGTCTGTATTTGTGTTCACACAGGCTCATTTTTCTCCAGTCCTCCTAAGCAGGAGTCTTTGCTGCTGTCCTTCCTTTAGGTGCACCCTTACATAATTCAGGATTTAAGCACTTGTTCTGGTTCTCCGTCTTTTAAGATTTTTATTTTATTTATGCACATGAGAACTGGGGTGTAGGCCGGAGGTGTGTGTGAGAGAGGGAGTGAGAAGATTCACCAGAGACAGAGTGGGGAGCAGAACAGGTGAATCTACTGAAGTACACTGCTGAGGGGAGCACGATTAAGACAGGTCTGCTGTATCCTGTGGTCAGCTCCCTGGCTGGAGATGGAATTCATGCTGCAGTGGCTGGGGATAGCTTGACAGCACTGAGATTTTAACCCTTGTTCCACCAGGGAGGTCCAAACATCTATACATTCTTTATTACTCCACCAGGTAACCGCTGTCTGATGTGGAACATGTGTAGGTCAGAGACAGCGGTTACCTGGTGGACCTACACATGTTCCACATCATTGTGAATCAGCAACTCAAATGAAGAAGCAAAAGTAAAGGACTCATAGTGAGCTTCCCAGAGAACCTAGCCTTTGTTAGAAGCAACTGCAGAACATTGCTTCATCTGTGACCTTCTGAGAAGTGGAAGAGCTTTGCTGTTACTCAACTAAGTTCAGAAGCTTCTAGAAATGTCATGTTTTAATTTCCCTTTTTTTAATATTAACTCAAAATTATTTTTGCATATATAAGCTCACCATGATGTATACTTTAAATACTTTACAATTTCATTAGTCAATAATGTTTGAGCAAAACTGAAAAAAAATCTGATAAGGGCCCTCCCTTGTGGCGCAGCGGGTTAAAGCACAGCACTGAGAATCTAAAGCCGCTTCCGCATGAATTCGATTCCCGCCTGCCCCGGAGGTGACCACATGGCGTGACAGACCTCTCCTGACCAGCCCGCTGCTCCCCTCAGCAGTGTACTTCGTCGATCTGCCTGTTCTGTTCCCCACTCTGTCTCTGGTGAAGCCTCTCACCGCCCCTGAGCCTCTGGCCTGTACCCCAGTTCTGTATGCACAAATAAATAAATCTTTGAAAAAAAAAAAAATCTGATAAAATGAGGTCAGGCACTTCTTACACAATTAGCCCTTTACCAGATGACTCCCTTATTCTAATTGTCTCAATGTAGATCTACAAATAATATTTAAAGCAAATTTATTTTAGAGAAGCGTTCCTGGCCTGATTTTTACTGAGTAAAAATATTGATTAAAAAAATCTCCCTAAGGGCCCTCCCTGGGGGCACAGCCGGTTAAAGCAGAGCACTGAGAAGCTGAAACCACTGCAGCATGAGTTCAATCCCCACCCCAAAGTGACCACATGGGTGGGGCAGACCTCTCCTGACCTGCCCATTGCTCCCCTCAGAGCTGCCTGTTCTGCACCCTACTCTGTCTCTGGTGAGGCCTCTCACAGCCTCTGGCTTGTACCCTAGTTCTGTATGAATAAATAAATCTTTTTTAAAAACTACCTAAGAGAAAAAAAAAAAAAAACTACCTAAGAGAAATCAGCATGGATTTATAAAAAATGAAGGTTAATTCCTGTGAGAGTTCTCCGAATTCGGCAGTTTCTTGTTATTCCACTCACCAAACAGGCCGGAAAAGCATACTTTCACACACAGGTGTGACACCCCTGGGCTGACATTAAGACCAGAATGTCATACAAGTTACTAGACACAGGCCTCATATCAGGTACTGTGAGTCTGGGAGTTGGGAGCACACATGAGAGATGTTGCCCAAAAAAATGAGGTCCCATGGGCACCAGCCCTGGAGGGCATAATTCTCACTGCATCCCAGAAAGGTAGTGTATTGATCACGTTGCTGGTTTCCACCTGACAGTCATTCTAAACCCTTCCTCCTTGACAGTTAGCAGAATCCACTTTCCTAGCAGCTTCATCTACTGCACAGGTGGAGGCAAGTAACATGATTTGGTTTTAGAGAGAAGCAGGGTCTCCGGGGAAAGGCACTATGATCCCAGGAAGCAGGAAAGGGTCCCTCCTTTCTTTTCATTAGTATTTTTAAGCATGTTTATTTGAGACCAGGCAGTCCCCTTAGGACGCTGAAGGGATGGAAAGCCAAGAAGGTAAAAGAAAAGCAAACAATGAGCCCTGACATTCTTCAGTTTTGACCTCCCTAAGAACTCAACCCCAAACATGTCATGTAAGAAAACAAAACCAAAAATCACCAACTAGGCAGGCTACCTGCTGATAGATACTTTGCTAGTTTCTTTCCTAGAAATATTGAGACTGATATGACATGACAGTGATAGGCTTTGTAGGGCCCAGCAGCCTTTCCATCATTCATCCTACAAACACCTCCACTACACCTCCCAAGTCCAGTGAAGTTGTGGCCCACAGGTCCAACACAGGGACCACAAAGCAGACACAGTTAACCCAAATGCCTAGAGTCTGAGCAATATCCTGGGACAAATGTGGCCCACCATGGCTGTTTTCCTACAGTCCTGCAGGCCATCTGGCTCCACAGAGAGGCAAGTGGAAGAGAACCAAGTTTCCCTTCAAAGGAAGAATCTCTTAACCCAGCTAGCTCTGCTCCTAATATGCCCATATACATATGTGTGTGATTCCAAAGAAGCCCTATTTCCTTGCAGTCTCATCATGCAGCCACACAGGACAGAGGGAACATTAAGCATACCTTTGTTCTCTACAACACTTGATTAAATTTCCTTCCCACAAAGCATGTCATATGACTCTCTGCATACCTGTAGCACTTCTATCACACAACATTGTAATTACATGTGAAAACACCTTCCCCAGCCACACCAGGTGTGAATCCCTGGAGGGTAGGGGCTGTCCATACATAACAGATTACAATTCCACTGAAAAAACGATTGGAATGTGGGTAATTCTTTCATTTGTTTATTATGATTATCCATCCGTTTCATGCATCCATCCAAAAAATGCACAGACAATCTGCTCAGTGCAAAGGGTAAACCACACACAAAAACCCACATCTAAACATTGAATACTTGGTTTTATATGAGAACATTGATGGTAAAAGAAGTAGAGGAGGAAGAGTAGGCACTGGTTACATACTCCCTGCCCAAGCAGAGCTGGTCACCAACTCTGGCATGACAGGACTGAAATCTGTCCAACAGCAGCAATCTCCAGTATAGGAAAAGTAAACCCACTTCTCTGAGATTCCTTCAGGTTTTTCCTTTTGTCACCTGCCCTTGTAAACTAATCCTTATATAACAAAAATTATAAAGTCACTGGCAGGATGTTTAATTCTTCTAAAATGTAGTTCTAGAGCCTTTTTCTTTTTCTCAGCCTCCTAGTCAGGTTAAGGAAATACAGGCAAAGGGCCTTTCCTGGTGGCGCAGCGGGTTAAAGGGCAGCACTGCAAGCAAGCCGCAGCCACTTCAATGCACTTTGGATCCCCAGCTCCG